TTTCCCCCTTTTTTTTTTTTTTTTTTTTTTGATTTGGGAAGCTCTTTGCTGGATAGAGTATTCTTGATTTCAGATCCTTGCTTTTCATTACCTTGAACACTTCATACCATCCCCTTCTGGTCTGTAGAGTTTCTGATGAGAAGTCAGCTGACAGCATTATGGGAGCTCCTTTGTAGGTAACAGATGGCTTTTTTATTGCTGCCTTTAAGATTCTCTCTTTGTCTTTAATTTTTGGCATTTTAATTATGATGTGTCTGGGCATGGGCTTCTTTGGGTTCTTCTAGTTTGGGACCCTCTGTGTCTCCTGAACTTGTGTGACTTTTTCCTTCACCAGGTTAGGGAAGTTTTCTGCCATTATTTCTTCAAACATGTTCTCTAACCTTTGCTTACTTTCTTCACCTTCTGTAACTCATATGATGTGAATATTGTTGTATTTTATGTTGTCCCACAGCTCCCTTAAACTGTCGTCCTGTTTTTTAATTGCTGCTTTTTTTTGGTTCTCTGAGTGATTTTTCTACCCTGTCTTCTAATTTGCTGATCCAGTCCTAAACTTCCCCTAATCTGCTGTTTATCCCTTCCAATGTATTTTTTATTTCTACTGTCATTCTTAATTTTCTTCATAGTTTCCATTTATTTTGTCATGCTGTTAAGCATCCTTATGATCAGTATTTTGAACTCTATATCTGATAGGTTGTTTATCTCCATTTCATTGATCTCTTCTGGAGAATTCTCTTGTTCCTTCATTGGGGCTTGTTTTTTGTCTCCCCATTTTGGCTGCCTGTTTGGGTTTGTTTCTATGTATTAGGTAGATCTGCTAGGACTCCTGGTCTTTTGGATGGTCTCTGGTGCAGGCCAATGTTAAATGCTGTTTGAGACTGGCCTTGAGAACCCTGTTTGAAGCTTTCCACAATCCAGAGCCTGTGGCAACCTCTGCTGGGACTGGGTGTGTTTGGAAAGGACCAAGATGTGCACTAAGGTCTGCTTTTCCAAGCCCTGGGTCCAGAAGCAGATCAGGCAAAGACTCAAAGCACCCAGAGACTGATTGTTATTCACAGTCTCTTAGTGAGTCTCAGGCTGTAGACCACAACAAGGTGTAAGCTCCACAGGGTGGGAGGTGTTCAATGGGTAGGGCAGTTACTTCTCCCCCAGGCAAAAGCAGCCTAGATGGTAAATGTCTACCTGAGAAAGATGCCCTCTGCAGTCTGAGAGAATGACTCAGCACAGGAATCCAGATGGCTGCCCTCTAAACTCTATCCCCAGAGCCAGCATCCCTCGATTCTCCTCACAAGCTCTAGTCCACTCTGCCCTCCCTCCACTAGAGCCCAAGGTGAGTGGCTGCACGCGAAACTTTGTGCATTGTTCCTTTAAGAGGGTGCCTGCATTTCCAGCCATCTCTCCCTGGCAGACAGAAAGAAACCCTGCTGCTTTTTACAGCCAGATGTTATGTGGGCACTTTCTCGGTTCTGGTGCTCAGGGCTGGGAAGCCCAGTTTGAGTTTAGACCCTAGAGTTCTCACTGGGGACCCCCCCACACAGCTAAAATATCCCTCCAGACCTTCAGCATCTGCCTGTAGG